CTCCCTTTCTCTCCCTCCGCTGGCCTCTCATTCTGTGGGAAAGGTCTTTGTACAGAAGGTCGCTCATGTGTTCCCCCCAAACACCCTCCAGTGACACCGTGGGACCTCAACCGGTGCTTTCATCTCTGCAGAGACCTCCCTGTGAACATATCTGAGATACATCTCTGGTGGGTCTCATGCAGAGGGTGGTCCTCCTTGTCCGTATTACTTTCCCTGGGAGGGTTTCTGCAGCTTGGCCATGAAAGGAACCATTCCTCGTTCTTCACAAGGTTCTCCTAGGCCTGTAGGTTGTGTCCTTGTTCCACCTTAATCAGGACCTTGTCCATCTCTTTGTCTTGCTCTGAAACATCTCAGAAGGGTTTCCCTCCATTCCTTGGATGTGGTTTGGGTCATCCGGATTTACCTCTCGGTGTGCATGTTGGAGGGGGAGGGGGCACTTCCTGCGTTTTGTTCCACCGTTTCTCGGTGGATCAGACAGGTCATTGTACTGGCCCGTTCTGCAAAGGGTTAGGCTCCACCCCTTCAGTATCCGCTATCTAGGTTGCAGATTTGTACGGCCACCAGCTTGTCTTCTGCTCATGCGTTCTCTACGTTCTATCAGGTGGATGTCCGGGCCTTTGCAGGTGATAAGTTTCAGCTGTACGGTGCAGCATGCGTTTATCTGGGTTGGGTTCCCCTCTTGGTCCTGTTGGAGGTCGTTCTGCTGTGCTTCCCACTGCTTGTGGAGATCCCGGTCGTCTCTGAATCGCCTGCGTCCTGTCCTGTACCATCCAGAAGATCGGAACTTTGGCCTACCAGTAACATCTGATTCTTGGAGTCCAGTAGAGGACACTGGAGCCTCCATCCTGTATCCTCCATTTCCTGGAAGGGGAGGAGTTATATGAGGGTCCTCCCAGCTCTGGCCGGAATATTACCCGGTCATCTCTGAATCTGCCTGTGTCCTGTACTCCACGTATCCGATGTTACTGCTTGTACACAGCCGTGACCTCCGAATATCCCGAATCGTGAGCTGTGACAACAAGCCAGCCCGAAGCCCTCCATTTGTGGCCCCCCAGGGGGCTAATTCAAGAGCCTGCACAACCATGACACAATGAGCGCGGGAACCTCTTTATGAATCTGTCCCCACAAGAGACCTTTCTGGAAGGTTCTGCCCCAAGTATTGATGTTTGGATGTCATTGGCTGGGAATTGGTGGCCCCTTCAATGTCTCTGTTCTTCTCCCCCCGCAGGTATTACTTTAAGAAGGCCAGCCAGGAATTCGAGTGCGGCGCGGTCTTCGAGGAGATCCGCGAGGACGACGCAATCCTCCCCACCTATGACGGCAGAGTGCTGGGTAAAGTGGAGCGCATCGACTGACACTCCGGTCACATGGCCAGCGGGAGGGACAGAGATCGGTGGCCGAGGCGCCTGGTGTCGGCGCGGTGCCGCAACTCCGTCCACAAGAAGAGACTTTATCATGGTGGACGAGGGGGGGGAGGGGCATCTGTGAAGATAAAATGAACTTTTGGGTTATTTATTGTATGAGAAGCGAGAACAGCTATGAGCAGCGCCTGGAAAGAAGCTCCCGGAGAACGCTCATGGACGCGCCGAGCAATGTCTGATATTTATTGACCTGGCGGAGCGCGCTGCTTATCCATCGGGAGAGACTGACCCTCCGCCATGATCTGCTCTGACACCAGGTGGAGGCCGTGCTGCCCCTGGGGCATTCCATTGATGAAGGTCTATGGGGGTGCCACACTAGCGCTCCTGTCACTGGTGGGAAACGCCCCCTAATTCCAGCACTTACCTGATCCCATGCGACACCTTGCTGGAGGGAGTACCGCCGTTGGAGCAGGTGCCCACCGGTGACGGGACCGCTGGTCAGATATGGACCTCAGCGAGTCACAGGAGGGTTGTGGGAGGATTAGGTGACCCGCAGCACCTCAGAACATCATTTTTAGTGACGCGGAACCCTTCCACAACTTGACACCCGTACGGCGGCCATATGCAAGAGAGGAAGGGCCCGGCTGCAAGGGGAGGGGCTTAGCAGGTACAGCTGGGCGTGGCTCAGTAGACTTACCCAGGGGATGCATTGCCTTCTCTCATGCTGTGCTGCAGATTGTTCCCCCGGCGCTCTCTGAGCTAAATCATTGACCGATCCACGAGGCTGATGTAGGAGTGCAGAGTGCGGATCGGCTCTGCCAGGAAATTTATGCTGCTTTGTGAAACTTTGGCAAATTTTTTGGCGGCACTTTGTCGCGGTGTTGCGGTGCCTTTTTTGTTTTCCTTTGTTGTCCCTTTAATTTATTCCCCGCCCCCATTGTCATGTCACCCAACCAAATCCTCCAATGTTTTAATTTATTTTCCAAATGTGTCACGGCACACCGAGATTCCCCTCCCGCCAGATTTCAGGGTGCAGGCCGGGCTGGTAATTGGGGTTCAGCTCCCCTAGAGATCTCTGACCGTACTATAGCGGCTTCCCATCAATATGTTGGCTTCTCGATACCACTCT